GCAGGAGTCCGCGGCCGAAATCCTGTTTGCTAGGAGGCTGCACACCTACCTTATTTTTGCCTTTTTTCCTCCAATCAGCAATCGCCTGCGCACTTGGAGCGGACACCAGTAGTTTGCACAAATAACCAATTAACCAATTAAGCAGTGCAGTTAAGTGGGAGTACGCCTGTATAATATGAGAGGCGCTGGTAACATTAAATATTATGGCTGCGAAGCAAAAGCGCTCAGTTTCGAATTTAATTCTAATTAAGGTGATCTGCTTGAAAGATACTGAGGTTGAATGTTTTTATTTTGTTTTTCATTTTGTTGCCATCATTTGTAGTGTAATATTTATCACTCCTTATATTCTACTTGCTAGTGTTCCTTGTCTAATAATTCTATCATCGATCCACAATCGTCATACTGTCCGTGTGTTTTACATGAGCATTAACATAAAAAGTTCGTTAAATGAAATTACGTGAAAGATTTTTAATGCTCCTGAAATCGATCTATTTAGCTGTAGTGAAATTTAGGCAAATGCATGTTATCGCCTCGATCACCATTCTTGTCGGTGATTTTTATCGGTAATACTTAATAATAATAATAATAATAATAATAATAATAATAATAATAATAATAATAATAAACTTAAACGAAGTTCCACCCTCCTGAAATATGCCTAAGGTGTGATGTGTGAAACTGTTCCGCATGGTTGCTTCTGTTCTACATCATTTTAATCATGTTCTGCTTTGTAGGCACCATGTTTTTATTTTACAAGTCATTTAAATTATTACAGGATTGTTTGAGGTTATTGCCCTAAAACCAGAGATGCGTGCCTTCTGTCAGTTGTCATCAACTTGTGTTTTACAAGACCGCAGTGGTCGGCAGGGTTCCGCTAATCGATAATTAGTGTTTCCACTGACTTTGAAAACCTTCGATCATTGGACCACTTGGCTTCCACTAAATTCAGTCCCGCTAACTGTAATTCCTCTAAACTTGTTTTCACAGGTGAAGTGAATAATGTTTAACGGTAAAAAAACGTTTGTAAACTCTAACATCATACATATTTGTCCCGGTCTGTTGTGAGGGTGTCTGTAACAGTCTGGCACGGTGTTGGCTGATCACGTGTAAACATAAGATGCGTTTGGTCGATAACTTGTGGTATTTAAGGTAGTCTGGGCTAAACGGAAGTGAAGGAAGATAAGGTCCATTTGAACTGGAGTACCCCGAACCAAGGCCTGTATCATGAAATTGGATTTCTTGCTTGATTTAAGGTACCCTACCCCAGGATTTGGATGTGTTTTTACACCAACACTGGGACAGAGAACTTACCAGAAATATCTGCATCTTGGTGAGAGGTCTGTAGCTGCAGCTCTGGAGGTCATCCATATCCCAGCCCCCATACGGTTTTGTGACTTAAAGCCAGAGCTTTCATGTTAACCCCATTGGGTAAACAACATCAGATCAAGAATGAGGAATTGGTTCCTATGAGACAACCCATTCGCTCTTGAGAATCAACAAAATGTGTCAATTCACTATCAACAAGCCTGTTGGTCTAGCTATGCACCCCAGTCTCTCCATCACCATGCAGTCACTGGAAGCCCAAGGTGTTTCAGAGAATGAAGCCCAAAAGTTAAAAAGTGACAATGCAGTGTCTACTGTCAGTCTGATTCCTGTCAGCAAGACAAAATGCAGATTTTGAGGTGTTTCGCGCAAACATTTATTCTGAAGAGGGCACGACAAGTAGATTTCAGTAAAGAGATCAGTAGTTCTAAAACTATTATAATCAAGATGGACAAAACATAAGTAACAGTTATAAAACAAATGAAAGAATAAGGACAGTGGATGAGTGAAATCTCTCTTTAAATAATTTCTAAACAATTAATTTAGCAATGTTACATATTGCTCACCTTATTGCATTTAATTTATTATACCTTTTTTGACTATTGCAAAATTAAGCAGAATAATTAAATGCTATTTATATTATGTGCTACACTTCTGTGTAGCACTGATGTTATATGTTTGTATTTAGCTGAAATAAACAGTAGCACTGCTGAGTTGATTGTTGACATGCACAGCGACGCCTCAGTATGTCACATGTGCTGCCAATAGATAGTGGCATGTGGCTCAGTGGACTAAGCCTCTGTTTGAGATTAGAATGTCGCTCGGTGCAATAATCACATCTGTAGGCAGTCCTAACCATAGTGGAGCATCACCACTGCACCCCCCAGTTTGAAACTAAGTGAAACTGGCTGGCAAATCAGCAACCCTTCAGAAGGTGCCTATGTCACCCTATCTATGGGCCCTTGAGCTAGACCCTTAACCCCCCGGGTTGACTGGCCCTATCTATGGGCCCTTGAGCTAGACCCTTAACCCCCTGGGTTGACTGGCCCTATCTATGGGCCCTTGAGCTTAGACCCTTAACCCCCTGGGTTGACTGGCCCTATCTATGGGCCCTTCAGCAAGACCCTTAACCCTCCAGGTTGACTGGCCCTATCTATGGGCCCTTCAGCAAGACCCTTAACCCTCCAGGTTGACTGGCCCTATCTATGGGCCCTTGGGTAAGA